CACATCAGGCGACTCGAAACGAGCTAATCCGCAAGTAGTGGCCCGATGCGATCGGGTCACATCAGGGTCACATCAGGTTCCTGTTTACAAGGCGCTGACGAATTTCTATCGATTGAAATGGTTGAAACTTTGCCAAGCCTAGACAGGGGCGGAAAGGGGGTACCAGCAAAGCGCGCGCTACCACACAGACATCTGGCAGCAACACCTGCAACGAGGGCACTTCTTCCTATACTGGAAGTAAGAACTCCCAATAGCTCTCGCTATCTTGGCGTAATCTTTCCAAATTCACAAGTGTTCCATTGCGAACTGCACTGGCAAGCCTGGTAATGACTCTGTTGCTTCCTGTACTGGTCTCGCATGTACGTGGAAAATCCCTTGTGAACTGCTTGCAGGACCCACCGCAGAATAAGAAACTCGTTGCTTCAGCAGGCCTGCGCGCCTAACCTCTCCCCACTTTTTGCAACGCAAAGGCTGCGGTGCGTTGGTGCTTCTTGCGTTCAGCTAATCTTTTGCATGTGGTACGGACTAAGACTACACAGACCTGACGTTAACCCCTTATGGGTTGCCAGTACCGCATTAAACACCTTTCCATGAGAGCCCCAGCATACAACCTAAAAGTAGGTCCCTTTCCAACCAACAGAGTTAACAGAGTTGGCTGGGAAAAAGAGACGGCTTTCCGCAAATAATTCCGCCTAAGGCAAGGTAGCAATACCTCAAAAAAAGTGACGACATTGTCTTTTTCCTGTAGTGTCATGACGCAACGCAGAGCCTTTTTGGCCTTCACTACGCACTGTTGTCTGACATTTTGCAAAACATGGGGCATGTTGCAGCGTGGGAAAAGCGCAAACAATCTTTTTGCGACGCGTGATTGGCGAAGCGATACGGTTGATGTGTTTTGGAATGGATGTTTTGGAGCGCGCTAAAGCAAATCAGCAACGCTTACTCTCTGCATTGCCAAGCGGAACACCAGTTCTGGAGGTCTGTCAGAGATTTCTCGATTATTTCTTCCGCTGGAACTATTCTGAGCTTTGTCTCGTGAGCAAAATGCCGCTCAAGGTGGCCAAGGAGCTATCATTGTCATTTTTGCCGATGTGACGCTCAGGCTCACATCGCCAGCAGCCAATACACATCAAGATTTACACACTGCACTGAGCACACCCGCCATCCAAGCACCATTAACTTCTATGCTTGCGCCGGTTTCCTCTCGGCGTCCGTGACCTGGCTCAAGTTTTTCAGCCCACACAACACTCAGTCTCCTGCGAACAGAGAGTGGTGTTGAGAAGGTTTAAAGGCAAAGCTTGAAGAGAAGCTGACCTTCGGCTGCGTTTCCTGCTGAGACTTGGCAACACCCACACGGTTGGCAGGCTTGTCGCATCTTTGTGGCTATCACAGCTTTTGGCTCTACGGAGTCGATAGATCTCTTGTTGAACACTGAACACTGTGTTCCTTTGGCGAAAAGGAATGCACGTTCTCCAGCGCAAGTTTTCCCAGCACATTGGAACAACCTTGCCGCCTTCAAGTCAGGAAGCTTTCAGCTCTTTCAAAGGAGCAATCGCGAAATCCACACCCGCGCACGGGGTGCGTTCACTGGCGCGAAAGCCGCAAGCTCTTCCCCAGCTTCATCGAACGACAAATCCAACAACAATGTTTTGAAATTGTTAAAACAATGACAATATTGCGAAACCGATGATAATTGCCCCAACCCTACAACCGCTCTCCAACTCCCGTTCCCCAACGCAATTTAACCACTTTGACGACAACGTTGAGGAGATGACAACGCCGTGAAATCGATGACAAGGCTGTGAATCTGGTGATATAGGGATTCACACTAAGATGGCACATAGAAACGGGACGCAAACATGGCACATGAGCCAAAAAAACAAGATGGAGCCCACGAACCCGAACGCAACCACGTTCGAAAAGCTACCTATGTCCAAATGACACTCTTGTAGGACACTCTTGCGGGACACTCTTGTGGGTCACTCTTGTAGGAAACTCTTGTGGGACACTCTTGCGGGACACTCTTGTGGGACACTCTTGTGGGACACTCTTGGGGACACTCTAGTAGGAAACTCTTGTGGGACACTCTTGTAGGACACTCTTGTGGGACACTCATACGGGACACTCTTGTGGGACACTCTTGTGGGACACTCTTGTGGGACACTCTTGTAGGAAGCTCTTGTGGGACACTCTTGTAGGACACTCTTGTGGGACTCTGTTGCGGGACACTCTTGTGGGACACTCTTACGGGACACTCTTGTTGCACACTCTTGTAGGACACTCTTGTGGGTCACTCTTATGGGACACTCTTGTCGGACACTCTTGTGGGACACACTTGTGGGACACTCTTGTGCGACCTTGTGGGAGACTCATACGGGACACTCTTGTGGGACACTCTTGTGGGACACTCTTGTAGGAGACTCTTGTGGGACACTCTTGTAGGAAACTCTTGTGGGACACTCTTGTGGGACAATACTGTAGGACACTCTTGTGGGATACTCTTGTGGGACACTCTTGTGGGACACTCTTGTAGGAAACTCTTGTGGGACACTCTTGTAGGACACTCTTGTGGGACACTGTTGCGGGACACTCTTGTGGGACACTCTTAAGGGACACTCTTGTGAGACACTCTTGCGGGACACTGTTGCGGGACACTCTTGTGGGACACTCCTGTGGGACACTCCTTTGGGATACTTTTGCGGGACACTCTTGCGGGACACTCTTGTGGGACACTCTTAAGGGACACTCTTGTGAGACACTCTTGCGGGACACTGTTGCGGAACACTCTTGTGGGACACTCCTGTGGGACACTCATTTGGGACACTCTTGTGGGACACTCTTGTAGGACACTCTTGTGGGACACTCTTGTGGGACACTCTTATAGGACACTCTTGTAGGAAACTCTCGTGGGATACTCTTGTAGGACACTCTTGTGGGACACTCTTGTAGGACACTCTTGTGGGACACTCTTGAGGGCACTCTTGTGGGGCACTCTTGTGGGACACTCTTATAGGACACTCTTGTGGGACACTCTTAACTCTTGCGAGACACTCTTGTGGGACACGGTTGCGGGGCACTCTTGTGGGACACTCTTGTGAAACACTCTTGCGGGACACTCTTGTACGACACTCTTGTGGGACACTCTTGTCAAAGGAAGTTTAGTGTGCAAAACTTCCGTGTTACGGACATTCAACAGCTGTTCAACCACCACTCATCATACACCACTCATCATACACCACTCAACATACACCACTCATCATACACCACTCATCATACACCACTCATCATAC